GATTCTTTGTCATAGCCTTACTCAAAAGACTGAAAAGTAAATTTTATAGGTACCTAGCCTAGTCTATGTTTAACTTTTTTTTAATTCACAATTTGGCCATAAGTGGTGCTGTGGTGGACTGGCGGCGGACTGGTGGTATCATTTTATTTTGTTGTTTTCAAATTTGCCAACATTACCAAGCACAATTTCTACACTAGGTACCATCTGCAATTCTGCATTGTACCTGACATAGTGGCAAAGCAGAGAGTATTTTAGACTCTCCCTCAAGTTCATTTTTGAGTCCTATAAGTAGACCAGTAAAGTTTAGATGTGCCATTGGTGCCTTCTAATGAATGACTGGAATCTGGACTGGTTGCGGCAAGTAGGGGTATTAACCTGCACATCAACAGTACAAACCTGCATGCCAATGTTGGGACTACATTCCCAACATCCTCCAGGCCGGCAAAATTGACACGATCAATACCTAATAACAATGCGCGTAAATTGACTATACAAATTAGGCCAATACGGCATAATTACAGAGCGTAATTAAACTATGTGATACAAAATATGAATATATATATTTGCAAGATAAGTCAATGGTCTGTCGTCTATTTTTGCTTCATTTGAGCAGTTATGGTTTCCAAATCTGGGTGCGTAACCGTGCGTTATGTTATGTCATGTGTACTTTGAATGTGCAAAAATTATAACTATCATATGAAAATTGTTATGTAGGTTATCATAGCACGAATCACCATAGAGCATCAAGATTGCAGTTCTGCTACCACCTTTCATGGAATTATCCTGCTTTTTTTCTAAAATTCAGTAATCTCACTTCCAGCAAAGTTTGCGAAATTCATTAGCTGCATAAAATACTCTCTGCTGTGGTGTTTGAGTTCCGGTTGACATGACATCCGTTTGCTTGTTTTGCGCTAATTTTGTAAAGGTTGCTTCAGATAAATTAATCATTGCCATTCCCATGTTTCACCCTCAATTTAATGTACCAGTAGCTAACGATATTGAATGGCATTATTCATACAAATCTGTATCTATTAAACTTTTACATTTTAAGATCTGATGGAAGCGGTGAGTGTCCCTAACAATATGAAGATGTATATAAAAACATTAATGATCTAGAAGCGGGCTTCAAAAAAAAAAAAACATTTCAACATGGCTCTAATTAAATAAAGATCATTACATACTTGTACTATAATAAACATGAAGTCTCCCATGAATATAATAACATGAATAACAATAACTTCATGAATAACATAAACATGAAGTCTCCAATCCTCATAATAAACATGAAGTTATATTTCGTTGGTCATCAAAGATCAAAGTTTATATCAACTACGCAAGTTGAACTAACAATAATAAAATGTAAGACATGTCCAGGTTACTTCTGACTCTTCCGCTTGTCGGATACGTATGGTAATTGTAAACTGCGGCTATTATACATACCTACAAAATGTAAACAAACTGTGTTCAGTGTTGCCATAGGACTTTGGAGAAAATTTCTTCTAAAATAAAGTTCTAGATTTCTCATTCAGCAAATTTCCGTATCAAGAAAAATCATATATTATTGAAAGATAATTAAAGGCATACTGTTCTGAGTATTACGTCTGTTCCTCCACAAACGTCTCTTGCACGGCAGTGCAATGTAGAATTGATGGCCAGGATTGCGTGAACATGTGTGCGAAGAGAAACAATTTTGATTACATTGCGTCAACTGTGCGCAGTAATGGCTTAAAAAAAGTCAAAATGCGCGGGAAAATTCCCCAAAAACATACATCATCCTGAGTGTGGCATGATTACTTGTCTATGTATACATATAAAATATTGAATAAAAATGTCTGATGTTTCTCAGTTGAAAAGATAGTTCCATGTATGATTTTTGAAAATTTAAGGAAGAAATTGACTGTTGTACTATATAATTTTTACTAAAGAACTTGTTTAGTAACTGGGCAGTGGACACAATGCACAAGTGCCTGACTGCTGACTGCCAGTCTTTAATATCAGGCAGAATATAAAAGACAAATTGATGGTAAAAAGTCTTCTGGCTACCTATTTTTAAAATTGTAAGCAAGCAGGATGGAATTCTAAAAACAATTATTCATTTATTATTTTCAGTCCTTGGAAGCCAGTATTTTGATCTAAAAATGTAAGTTTGAAAAAGTTCAAATGCTGTCTATGCTGTTTAATAATTTGAGAACAAGTTCCTCACTCTTCCAATGCCATACAACGTAATCACTTGCAACGTTGCAAGTTCAAATAGTCGTTCAAAAAATTTAATTAGGATGATAAGATGCATTAGTTCAGTAACAATAATAAAAGATGGTGAACTAAGCTTAAATGAAATAACAACATCTTGCACTACAAACTTTTTCAGTAAGCCTTGTCCACAGGCATGGAATATATCTACTTGCTACTTGGCAAGCCGTGACTGGATTTTTTGAGCCATGGTTTTATGGGTTTGCCAGCCGTGATTCCATTTCTTTGAGCCGTGAATTCCATATTTCAGCCATAAAAAGCCATTTACGAGCCGCAAACTTATTATTTACAAAGTCCCATGAATTTGTTACCACACATCTCTAATTTTACTCTAAAAAGTCACTAACATTTGTCTTCACTAAGCGGCAACTGAACAAGTGATAATGCAGTCTGACTGCTCTGACGTGACCACAACTGCATGATCTTCAAGGAAATGTTTTGGGTTGACTTTATGATGTTATTACATTCTGCACGAGTGCATGTTATTTTGGCTGGAGGCAGGAGCATTGAACTATATATACTAGGGATTATATACTGGAGAAGTATACAATATATAATGGGGAATTATGTGGAAAATTTTATGAAATGACATGTTTGCAAAGTGCAAACTGCAATTTTTTCAATCACGCAAAAAATGGTGACATTAGAGCTGCCAAATTTCATACCTACAGAAATTATATGATATTAGAGGTGCAACATTTTGCGGGAAAAAATAGTACTTTTCCAGTCCTGCTTGTCCATGTCACATGACTGACATCTGATAAGAAAATTCCTATCATTTACTACAATCACATCTCTGTTGCAGCACATGCAGTTCTCCTAGGCTCTCAGTCTCAAGTACCAGCTCAGGATAATGAGGTTCATCAACCTTGTAGGGCAACTTGCCTAAGAGAAGGTAACTCCAAACCCAAACCTCTGCTGCCTTGCAGCCAATCTCCCATGGTAAAGGCTTAGTAGCACACCAGACATGATAGTTAGCTCTTCAACACAGCCCATCTACAGGCCAAGACCAGGGTCCTAATCAGCAAGATGTTCTTTGCCAACAATGCAGCCTTGGCATTTCATACCAAGAAGGGACTCCAGTTACTTATCACCTGTTTTGTGTTATCAGCGTACTTGAAATATCTTGAGCTTCAATGTGAAGACCAAGCTGTGCATCTACAAGGCTTCTGTCCTTGGCACTCTTCTGTATGGTTTGCCAAACATACACCACCTATGTGAGACCCCCCAAATAATCTTGACAACTTCCACATGAGGTGTCTTGAAAATTGGCAATGGGAAAGCTTGGGCTACAATATCAAGATTTTTTGGGGCATATTCTTCAGTTTTCAATGAATTTTACTTTATTTGGCTCCCCTGAACAATTTAAAAATCCTAGAAACGCCACCTTAAAAAGTTTATAAATCCAATAGTTATTGAGCTACGGAAATGAGAGACATACCACTCGATTTGTAAAAACCATACCTAGCAACTCTAGAAGCCCTTTTTTTTTTAATTTGTGCATGGTTGACTTATATATGGGGTGGAAGAGGAGTGGAGGGTAAAAATGGGAAGAACGCGAATAAAAAAAATGATGAGGAAAATAAAAAATCGGGGCTCTACAGTCGCTAGATATTGTTATTACAAATTGAATGATATGTGTCTTGACATTGCAGCATGTGATTTGTAAAAGTTGTAAACTTTTTTAGAGTACCCCCTTTTTTGCCATTTTCTATTAATTTCATGTTTTCTGTGATTTTTGTCAAAAAATTTACACGAACAAAAATGTCTTAGATTTATGTTTTACATATGTGCACCAAGTTTCAAAACGATCCGTCTGTAAACAAAAAATTTTTCTTGGAGGGTAGCCGGTCCCCTTAAGTGGCTTTGACAGTAGCTACTTGCTGGGCTCTTTGCTTCAGGCATGGAATATATCTGATTTTCAAGCTGCCACTAGAGTTTTATTGTCATATTGGCAAAGTATAGACTTATATATAGGAGCAAGTTCATTTATAATTTCCAGTTCATTATTATTTCCGATATCTTGTGAATGGTACTGGTATTCATGATACTTCCTGGTCTACTTCCATGATGAAGGTCTACTTCCTATGTCTACTTCCTTTGATGAATATGATTAAAAAATGAAGATTGAAAATAGTGTGCTGGATTTATGTATTAGATGCAAGATTTCCGAATTTAAAAAAAGTAAAAATTTCACTTTGGAGCTGCAAAATTTTAGTAATAAGTAGGAATTTTCCAATCTTGGTTGAGCCTTGCAAGTACTGAGATTCCTATCTAATACACTACAGATTCAAAAATTGCAAATTGTCAATAATGATAATTGTATGTTTTTATCAATATTTTCAAATTATGTTTCACAGGTTGTTTTGGTTGTTGTGTAAATCACCAAGGATGGATCGTGAGTACGAGATGCGTATTCTGACAGACATGAAAGCTCTTCAACACAGCCCATCTACAGGCCAAGACCAGGGTCCTAATCAGCAAGATGTTCTTTGCCAACAATGCAGCCTTGGCATTTCATACCAAGAAGGGACTCCAGTTACTTATCACCTGTTTTGTGTTATCAGCGTACTTGAAATATCTTGAGCTTCAATGTGAAGACCAAGCTGTGCATCTACAAGGCTTCTGTCCTTGGCACTCTTCTGTATGGTTTGCCAAACATACACCACCTATGTGAGACCCCCCAAATAATCTTGACAACTTCCACATGAGGTGTCTTGAGTGCATACCTCATATCACATGGCAGCAAGATGGTTTTGGGCTGCATTTCCACAGACCTCCTCTACTGTGAGCTTGTAGAAGGCTGATGGAAAGTGGGAGGCCTAAAACCAAGCTTCAGGGACATCTGCATGAGGGATTTTAAACTGAGCCGCATCAACCCATTCTTGTGGGAGAACCAAGCAGCTGGTTCTCCCACTTCTAGCAGCACCTAGGCTAGAGACTCACTGTTGGGCAGGCTGTGTTCTGCACTGAGGTAGAGTGCTACGTTAGAAACTCTCGAAGGAGGTTTTGACAAAAACAATGGTTGATGCTACTGCAACTATCTGCCTTCACTTGTGATGTTGTGGATTGGATTGCCACTCTGGGATTGGTATGTACAGCCATTCTAAGCAATGCAGGCAGGCCTGATAGGTACTCCATTGCCTCTTGAGATGGATGAATGCCGAGGATGACAATATTAATATAGCTGGGAAGTTGTGATTCAGTTTAATTCATAAAATAAATTTATTTTGAAATCTGGCAGGATCTATGTATGCTGTGACAGCTTAAGGGGACTGGCTACCATAAAGATTGGAAATTTTGGCTTTTCTGTTTTTTTGACTCATTTTGTAGCTGCTGAAAAGGTGCGTCTAATGCAGTTTACCGCATGTCTGTGCGTGCAATAGTTTTTGCGCAAGACAATTTTAAAAATATATATATGAACATTTTTTAACAATATGTACAAAGATTTATTTGAATTAAATCTGTATATATAAATCATTGCTCTCGTTAATTACAAAGTGTTTGCACTCTTTTGAAAGCTACAAACAAGACTCATTCAACAAAGCTACTACCATGGATGTGCATGCAATAGTTTTTGCGTAATGCAGTTGTAAAATTATGTAAAATGAATATTTTATATATATATTTATATATGAAANACTCAAGTTTATTGAACTCTATTGAGACTATTCAACTCGTGTGAAAATTCTAGTCTTGGTCATTATTAATTAGTTTTTAAAAAAGGATTTCCAAGTGAGTTGCCTTTTCTTCATGAAAAATTTTCTAGTTCAATGATAATTTCCTTTAAAAAAATATTTTTCTCTGTGCATTATTATAAAATTATAACAATAATTAAATAATTATTGTTTAAATTAAATTCCATAACAATAATTTAATAATTTTGTAATATTACAAAATTATTGTTTATGACCTCTCAACTTGACCCTGTCTTAGGGACGCCTGTAGACTTACATTTTGTAGACTTACAATATAGATGCAACAATTCCTGTCATTAGAGCATTGTATTTAATATTATGATTGTATTCAAGTAAATCTTGAATATTTTATGGAAGTGAGAAAATTTCATCAGAAAATATGAGCATAATTGAAAGTATCAGTGTTTGATCTCCGCCTGCAGCCCAGACGCTCTTTGAATTTTGGGTCTCCATCAAAGCAAAGAGGTGGTGACCGCTTCATCCCCACCCGCGCCAACAACGCTTGGGAGGTTAACTTTGCCCTTCTGCCGGTGACTAAATGCCTTAATATGTCTCTGAATGTAGCACCTTCTAAAGTATTTACATATTCCTTGATACATATGTCAAGAAATGTGGTATGTTCTATCGTTGTAATCTGTTGATAGTTAATTAATAATCTGTTGTAATTAATATAGTAATCTGTTGTAATTAATATATTGTAACTAATGCTGTTGATTGGAATGTTTTTTATACTTGTGTTTAGTTAATGATGATAAGTTGAATGATGAATCAGATGAATATTTGTATATTACTTGACTAATGAATGAAATATGAAACGTATATTTGCATATGACTTGAATGATGAATGAGATGAGTTCTCTTGGTAAAGCTGGTAGGTAAAGTTAGGTTAAACAGGCAAATATGTATGATTTTTATTGTGAAATACCTTAATGTTACAATGTACAACATGGATGATGAAGCAGGCAAATAGTATATGGCTTAGATGGTGAATCAAGAAAAATTTTATCACTTGGAGAGTAAGTTGGTTGAATATATGATTTGGATATAGCAGGAACTGTTCTTATTTTCTATGTGTTTTCAGGAACACAGCAAAGATGGCAGCAAAGTCCTGAAGGCAGACTTCAGTTCCAGCAATGACGGTACTAAAGATAGCAGCGCCTACTCTGCCCTGCTGCACAACGAACTGCTTGGGGTTAGCTCTGATGAGAACTCCTACGGCACAGACGAGCGCAGGATGCACAGCATCACTAATCCTAGTCTATATTCTGTGAGTTTCCAAAACTGGAAATAAAAACTATAGTTAAATTATTGTTAAGCTCTATGCTAGATTGTTTTGTTCTTGTCCAAACTGCTGCATTCTATTGAAGAATTCTGATCTTGCATCTATTTGCATTGCTCTAACGGTCGCATTATATACTAATCCATAAAGCTCCCATCTTCATTACTCAGTTGTACCTAATCGTTTTAACATTGCGTTGTGACAATTGTGTTGCAGTTCTCCCCTGCCAAAGCACGCAACCGCGACGGCATGACGTCACCATACTCCCTCTCGCCCGTGTCTAACAAGACGCACAGGATGTTGAGCTCGCCGCGCAAGGCTACACGCAAAATTAGTAAAATTCCCTTCAAGGCAAGCTGTTGTTGTCTTTAATGGCTCTAAATAACATTATTGCAATAGTCATAAACGCATCTACAGCTCCAGATTTTGATACCTCGCTAAAATTCAAGAGCAAACAACAACCAAATCTTTAACTTGTAGGCCTCATGTATAGCTTTTAGTAATGGAGATTTTGTTTTGCGTGTTATCCTGCAGTTAGTTTTTCTCTTCATCCACTGCAAACAAATTTCAACAAGATTATATCTCGAATGAGGTAATTAGAATGTTAATTGTCACCGTGGAGAGTGAGTAGTACCGTATAGAGCTATAGACATAGTTGGTCAAGGATTGAAATTCTGTGAACTTTTTCTAATGATTAACTTTTTTTTTTTTGTTACGGGCTTTCATCCTCTTTAATGCCTTGCCTTGATGTGAAGATAATCTATTTCCTCTGCATTACTTCAGTTTACAATTTTTATTTGTGTTGCTCTTGTCTTGGATGGTATTTCACTTGACCTTGTAATAAAATCATCCTGATATATTTTCTCATAGGTATTTTTTTTTATATCCCCTTCAAGTTTCTTCTGGAATGTATTGATATTTTGAGCCCAATTGGTGTGTGAATAGATGGAACTGGCTACATAATTGCTACTGTAAACTTGAAGTGATTTCTTGTTTCCTTTGTGTCCCTAAAAGTTTATCATTTTGATTAATTTAATATTATATCATATTTCGCGGTCATATCTACGCGGTTTTCAAGTGTTAGATAACTTTAAACTACATTTATAAAGATGGTTATATAATGACTGCATTTTCACTCCTTTTCCTAGTGCGTGTTTCATAAATTCTGTCCACTTCTGACTTCGTTCATTTGTGACAGGTGTTGGATGCCCCGGAACTGCAGGACGACTTCTACCTGAACTTGGTCGACTGGAGCTCACAGAACGTGCTGAGTGTGGGGCTGGGCACGTGTGTGTATCTCTGGAATGCTTACACGTCGCAGGTCACGCGACTGTGTGACCTCAGCAACGACAGTGACAGCGTCACTAGCGTCTCCTGGAGTGACCGAGTGCGTTATCATTGCGTTACACTCGATTAGCCGGACTGACACTCTGGACAGCATTCATGTCATAAAATTGACGATACTGGCCTTTTTGGCTGTGTTCATACTATAAACTGTTGGAATAGTGCAGATATTCTTAGCAGTTTGTGCGAGTGCAACGAAGGAGTTGACTGATTTTCAGATGCTTATTTGTTGGTGGCACCTCCGCTGTGTACTTCCCAGATGTGAAAGCAGTATTGCAACTTGAAACAATTCAGTCGTGCTGTTGTAGGAGAGCTCCTACCAAACTAGTAGAGTTATAGGTACCTCTTGACTTTCAACTCACCAGTAATTCATTTTTCTATTTAATTTATGCAGGAAAAGAAAATTAAAAGTAGTAAACTTCAAACAACATATGTATTGGCGAAATCAATGACCATTCAATTGGTGCTGCAGTATTAGAATCGGCAGTAGAAGTAGATCTAATATTCTTCATTATAAGGTATTGCTCTTTAAAGGGGAGGTGAGGCTCACAAAGAGCCAGTAGGCGAATTGCTTTAAACTCGCTTTATTCATTTATCCTGAATTTTCCGTCAGGTGAACCATGAACTTTGTCCCCTGGCTCTCAGATTGTTTTCGAAACGTCATCCTCGTATAATGCTGAAAAGCTATGATGCTGCAGTGTAAGCTGTTAAAAAAATTAAATCTTTCACATAAGTCATGTACTAACTAATAAAACTTCATTCGAGTCCAACAGCACGCCATGAGTGATACTCCAGGCTTACAGCCCTAAGTGGGGAATAAAAAGTGTGATCACTTCCCTCTCACTTGTCATTTTTGCTGTTCAGGGTGATCGTGTGGCGGTGGGCACACATGAAGGTCTCGTACAAGTGTGGGATGTGGGGAGCAACAAGCGCCTCTCGGTGCTGGACGGACACACTGCCCGCGTCGGAGCTCTGGCCTGGAGCGGCGACACAGTGGCCTCTGGCTCAAGAGACCGACACATCCTGCAGCGCGACCTGCGTGTCGTGCGTGCTGCCCCCATCAGGAAACTCCTGGGGCACCGACAAGAGGTCACTATTTGAGGCATTAACTTGCATCTGGTTTACACCACAGCATGGCACGTTATCATCGCTTGCTTAATTGAATTAATTCTTTTGAGCTTTCCTCTCGAATATAATATCCTTGATCCTCTTGGAGATTCGAATATAAAATCTTCTTAGCAGCATTTTATCATATTTCATTGAGAGGTCAACAACAAGTTATACTTTGCGTTTCTATGTCCTATATTCATTTGTTATATCGTTTTTCATAGTTTATTATCAGGTGTGTATGTACTTGACTGAATGTGTTAGTCTTAACTTGACGTCATCTTATCCTTGAGTTGTTATATAGTGTAGGCTTTGTGGTTGGTTCATGAAGGCTCTTATTACTTTCTTTCGCCTGCCCATATCTCAGAAGTGCGTGTTCATTTAAGTTATATTGCAGGTATGTGGACTGAAGTGGTCTCCAGATAACCTTCATCTCGCGTCAGGAGGCAATGACAACAAGCTTTTTGTATGGAACCTTCACACGGCGTGCCCGGCTCAAACCTATACTGATCACAACGCTGCCGTCAAAGGTGATTACGGCTGCATGATGGTCGTGATGACGGTCTTGTGTACAAGCGTATTTTTGTCTTAAATATCCCATTGTGTCTGATTATATCGACTTGGTCTGAAAATTCACTAGAGCTAATTTAGGGAAATAATTTATTTTTGTCATTTTATAACTTATGTAATAACTTAATCTCAATTCATTAGGTAAAATGTGCAACTGAACTGTCATATTATTTCATCCCACGATCACACCAAGATTAATGTGTCTTTTAATTAATCATTAATGTATTATTAAATAATTCATTAATTATTAATGTATTTAAATAATGTGATATTAATTAATTATTAATTACAATTAATGTCTTTTATTCCTCAGCGATTGCTTGGTCACCTCACCACCACGGTCTGCTGGCGAGCGGAGGCGGCACCGCGGACCGCCACATCCGCTTCTGGAACACACTCACCTGCCAGCCCCTGCAGGCCGTCGACACGGGCTCACAAGTCTGCAACCTCGCCTGGAGCAAACACGCTTCTGAACTGGTGCATTTCCCTCTGTATTTTGTTATAAAGTGATGCATTTCTCTCCCTGCATTGTACTCAACTGATGTCTTTAGTGCAGTGTATTTTTGCTGTTGTTAAATGGTGCATTTCCCTCTGTATTTTGTTATAATTTCTTCCCTTTGTTATGCATTTCTTTCCCTGTTTAATGCTCAACTGGTGCCTTTGGGGCAGTGTAGTTTTACTGTACTTCAGTACCTATCTTTCTGTACTTTGTTATAAAGTGATGCCTTTCTTTCCCTGCATTGTACTCAACTGGTGTCTTTAGTGCAGTGTATTTTTGCTGTTGTTAAATGGTGCATTTCTTTCCCTGTTTTATACTGAACTGGTGCTTTTAGTGCAGTGTATTATTGCTCTTGTTAAATGGTGCATTTCCCTCTGTACTTGGCTGTATACTGATGCATTTCATTCCCTCTTTTATACTCAACTGGTGCTTTTAGTTTAGTGCAATGTATTTTTGCTGTTGTTAAATGGTGCATTTTCCTCTGTACTTTGTTGTAAACTGATAATTTATTTCCCTGTTTCATGCTCAACTTGTGCCTTTAGTGCAGTGAATCATTGCTGTTGTGAAATGATGGTTTCTCTACGTGTAACTGAACACTGTTGCATATTGCGCAGTTGCATGGATGATGATGTAATTTACTTAGCAGCGCTAGAGCTGAGCCATAAAATGCTGACTGAAGCAAGCGATGAAAAGCCGTGAGAAAGCTTGATGCCTTAATTATGATGATGAATATTTAGTAATTATGATGATTCAACTTAGGCCGAACCTGATGCTACAAAGTATTAATTATTGGATCCCGGTCAGATTTCGACTCTGCATGAGATACCGCTCCTCTCAAAAAGCCGGTGAAATGTTCTGAGATCTGTTCATCAGAGACTTAAGGCTGATTTATGTAGAATTTTCAAATTGTTACACTATAAGCCGATGAGAAATCTCGATAAATGGTACTGAAGAATTATTCTCTATTAACTTTTATTATTCTCTATTACTGTTTATAAGCTAGCTTCCATTAATATAAGAAAACAGAAGGAAAATATTGACGAGCTGAATACATCCTCTTGATAATAATAATAATAATACAATATTTCTTGGCAAACAGTGACAATAATAACAGAATGCACATTGTATTTTCTCCAATCTTCTTGATCTATTTTTATGATTTTTTACAATGGTTGAATTAATTATAGTTTGATTAAATAAATTCATTACCGGTAATTGTATATATTTGTAAATTGAATGAATTATTTATCAGGAAATTGTGTTTTTTGAGTCTTGAAATTTTCAATTTTGTTTCTGTATTCATCTCATGTGATTAGTTACATCGTATCAAATGGGATATTGATTGAAATGATCTCTTATTACAGGTATCAACTCACGGCTACAGCCAGAACCAGATCCTCGTGTGGAAGTACCCGTCGCTGTGTCAAGTGGCCAAGCTTACAGGGCACAGCTACCGCGTACTGTACCTCGCCATGGCTCCTGATGGCGAGGCCATCGTCACGGGCGCCGGCGACGAGACCCTCAGGTTCTGGAACGTCTTCAGCAAGGCCCGTAACCAGAAGGTGGGTCTTGACTGCTGGGCGCGTGCGTCTGGAACGTCTTCAGCAAAGCCCGCTACCAAAAGGTTTGTCTTGACTTCTGGGCTTGTGCATCTGGAACATCTTCAGCAAAGCCCGCTACCAAAAGGTTTGTCTTGACTTCTGGGCTTGTGCATCTGGAATTTCTTCAGCAAACTCGAAGTCACAAGGTGGGTCTTGTCTGCTAGGCTCGTGCGTTTGGAATGTCTTCAGCAAAGCCCGCAACCTGAACGTGTCTGGGTCATCTCCTGCAGAACCACCCGCCAAGGTTTTGAAACGAACGCTTGATTCCAGAAGTAGAGAATGAATTATCAATGGCCAAGTCCTGTTACATTCATAGCAGCCAGTTACTATAACTCTATAGTTCTGCCAGCTGCCAGTTATTCTCACTATAACATTTTAATTGCTCAATTAGCTAATAGATAAGTCATTAACCGGGTAGTTGCATTTAAGTTACAATAAACTATTGGGAAACCACGGGTGGACTGACTCATTCAGGATAAGTTATCATAAGAGGATTATCATCATATTTTGAGAATTTCCTTTTAAGAGACTTCATATGAAGTTATCCGAAGTGCAGATATTGTTGGGGCGTCGTTATTGTGGTCTGTTTACAACAAGTCAATGATCTCCATTTATGGGAACATACCTTATTATCCCAAATGAAACTATCTTGCCAGGGGTAGAGAACGTGCGGCCGTCAAACTATCCCAATCGAAACTATCTATCGTTGTTGGGGCGTCGTTGGGCGAAGTCTGATGGACTTGCTGTAGTGTTATTGTTCCCTGACGAGTTGAATGACGAGTTATAGTGTGTGTTGGCAGAATGCAATATCTGTGGAGGAAAACTCGTGCGCAATTATTTGATTAAAACTAATCACCTACCGTATCGTTATAAATATCCTTACCTATGCCTTCACCCTAGTGATCACTCACACATTTGGTTTTCGGTGCTTGCCATTATTCAGTTTCATTTATATATAATGGTGGTTATTTGCTTGATGGTCATTGGAACTATCATCACATCATAAATATAAATCAGTTTCTCAGAGCTGCAACAATCCAAATTTCAGTTGATGCTTATAATAGAAACAACAGCAAAATCCACAGATTTCCTTGATGCCAAAAAAGTTACCACCCTCTGTTACAATATAGTCACGAAGAGAATTAATTTCATTTTGTTTTCCAGGAATCGAAGTCTGCTCTGAACCTCTTCCATTCACTGCGGTGAACAACTCAGTGGACAACGAAGTTTGTACAGTTCTGACGCCAACCTCCGTCGTTTGTCTACACGCATCGTGGACGTTGGATGAGCGGCCATACATAAAATTATTCCTGATGGAAAAGTTATTCTTCTGCTCTGGTGGTGCATCAAATGCATATTATAATCTTCGTCTTGGAACTTGGTTTATTTGATTTCGTTAATTCATTACTGGCCTCTTCCCCAAGTATCAGTAGGAGACTGACTAATATTTCATTTGCACTGCACTCATGTCTTTTAATTCCCGTTCGTTGCATAAGAAGCATGCGTTTCTCCTGGTTGCATGCTACTCGTTCTCGTTTGCTCTTTCCGAAGCATTGCCTATTCTGTTCTTGTTCTCCACGTTCAAGCTCACCTACGAATGTCTTTGTAATGTTGAGAAGTCGATTTGTATTAATGTTCGTCATGTTTGAGTATAACTCGTTAACAGACTTGAATGGATGATGAGACGTTTCGGTATAATATTTTACCGAGGTTCTGAAAATGCGAGGTTTATTATCTTCGATAAAGTCTTCTGCTAAAATACTGTCTCATCTGGTCTTAGTGTTGGCTTGGATGTAAAGGGATAGTCACGCTATCGTACAATTTAGTATAATCAAGGCATGAATTGTAGTATCATGAGAATCTTATGATTGGACCCTATATTGTATTATTGTTTTGAAGCTTGCAGAATAACTGTGACTTTTCCCGACTGACTGACTGACTCAACAATATTGGACTTTACATGACGGATGCACGAAGCCATGAACAGTCTTGACTGAAGTGTGCCAGTCTTGATGTTAGAGTGACTGTTGGCATTCGGGATAGACGCGATATAGGCGTGCATTAAAACAATTCTCTCGAAAACGGGTTATAAGGAACGACTAGATCCTAGTTCATTCATATTAATCAATTGGGTAGGCATGACTGCACGAGATTTGGTTGCAATGAGCCCAGTTTAATTTGGGCCTCTTAAATTCGTGGTTTTCGTTGTTACGCTATCGATTCCATTTTGAAGGTATTCAAGTTTGAAAGTTATAACTTGTTTCATTCTTATAGAAAAAGTGGAACATTGATATACTCACAGAAGGTTTGAGATTTTTAGCGTAATTGTTTGATGCGGTTTAAAGTTCAGAAAAACCTATGTTGTAGTACAATGTGCGATCGTTTGATCACTTTTTAAAATGTGTTAAATGGATTGTGTTTATTCAGTTATACATGATAAATATTTTATTGCTGTAGCCACTTGAAGATTTTGTCTTGATCCTATGTGTGAGTGGTCAAATTAATTCTATTTGTATGTGGAACGAAGCTGCGGCATGAAGTTTTCACGGAGAAACTCCGTGAAATTTGTGCCGCGTCTCTTGTTGTTAAAATTCACTTTCGGTTTTATTTTTCATTCCGATCGACGCTTCTGCGTACTTGTAAATCATTTGTACGATAGCTGCGTAACGTACTGAGGCACTTGTGCCATTTATCATTAATTTTGCGTTATTTATTCACTTGTATTAGGTATTAGTAGTTCTAATATGTACATAGCGAGTGTCGCGTTCGAATGTGCGGTGTAATTCTTACTGAACGTGTACAATTTGTTATGGCTGTATGATGTGCTTAGCAGTTGGATGGCTAGTTAACGTACATCCTGGTGGCTACATCGCCTGGTGGATGGCGTACATCGCCTGGTGGATGGCTTGCACCCTGGTGGCTAAATCGCCTGGTCGATGGCGTACATTGCCTGGTGGCTAAATCGCCTGGTCGATGGCGTACATTGCCTGGTGGCTAAATCGCCTGGTGGATGGCGTACATCGCCTGGTGGATGGCGCACATCGCCTGGTGGATGGCGTACATTGTCTGGTGGCTAAATCGCCTGGTGGATGCTTCATACTCTTTGTCTGGCGTTGTTAGAAGCCAAACGTGGTCATGAACTCACGTCAGTGCTGCGGTCGTCGCAATGTTTGCTGCTGAATGTTCTGTTCGATCTAACCTAAATTGCATCCTCTTGCTCCAGCCGAGCCGTGTACAAAGTTCTTATGGGATTACTGCTGCCACTTTCCTTTTGTTTGGTTTTCCGTTCTTTTATCTGTTGTTTCGATGCATGCACGTGCATTTGTACAGATTTGTGTTCTATTTTCTTACATTCAAATATTTTATTTAGTTTGTTTTGTTTGATGTGACGTTACGTCATCAGAGGTGCTGTTTTTTTCTTTTATTTTCTATCGTTTCTGCTATGTTTGGCCCACAGTTTCAACGTATCTTGTCTTTGCTCCTGCAATTATCGTTGTGGCAGTGTCTCTCAAAATAAGCGAGATTTGTTTCGAGTTCGATTTTAGCTTGTTCAAAAATTTCGTTTAGTGTTCAATTTACGTTGTTCATGTTGTTGCAACAGAACCAAACCTTACGCAGCCGTCAGTATCGCAGCTATGTTAATCCAGTTTACTGGCTAAGGATCGTACCTTATGAGAAATAAAAAATTTCAAAACATTGGCCGAGCGTGACGACTGCTGTATCCTAGTCATGATATCGCGTGTTTAGTTCGTCTTAACCGCTTCAAATTTGTATTCCCTTGACGTAGCCGCTCTGTTTGCAAGTTTCTAGCGTGGTGTCAAATGCTGCATTTGTTGCAATAATAGACTTTTATCTTACGACCTGCAATATTGTGTTGATTTTATACTGCAATATTTGGACCCGACTAAGTGTCCGAAACTTCAAGTCTGTATTTTCTAACTCAACCCATTTTTGCGCAACTTACTCCGTCGAATTGTGTTTTTCTTGTCATTTAATAGCATTGCGCTTCAAACGAGTTAACCAACTGCGTGCAAACATCTGTGTGCAACTATGACACGTTTATAAAGGAGCGACCTCATTTTCTAAACTGAATTATCAAAGGAATTTTCTCGTGAAAATTGTAGGTGGCAAGCACGAAAATAATATTTCTGTATAAATTATCCAAGATGTTGGCTGAGGTTTCTTGCCAACCTTGCCAATTCAGTGAGAAACCCTCATTTTCGGACGCTTGGTCGGGACTTCTTAACTCTGGCCTTTGTCACTATCTGATCTTATCTTACTCCATCCATCTTATCCATCTTACTTACTTACATCCATCTTATTTTAATTGATAGATGTAATTAAGTGCAGAATTATTCCCAGCCTCGAGTCCTACTTCTCAGCACGCCTACCGACACGACAGATTAAGTTCTTCCCTGTATTGAGTAAAGTTCTTTGGCGGTAAGAATTCGAGCGCGTTCAAACATGTACAGGGTATAGGTTTCTCTATTTATTTAACGGTTAACTTGCAGCTCATTGAATTAACTGAACTAGCTTGGCTAATGTAACGCAATGTACATCATGGCTTGATTGTGTCATTTGAAAGTTTGGCGCAGCTCCCTAATTTAATAGAAGCTCGAAGAGCGCAAAATTTTTTTGCAGTTTTCTACAATTTAGAAATTTTTGACCTTGGAGCTTCATTTTATCACAATTGTACTTTTCCTACCTAGTTTTCGAACGATTAGTCGCTACATATCTGTATGAAATCGGAGGCCGACACTCGCATTCAAAATCGTTTTGCCCTTGTGTTTGCGTCATGAAACCCTCGTGTACTCTTGAGGTTCTCCTTTAATTTCATATTCTTCCTCCCTTCATTTTCATTCTGCATTAGTTCCTAAAAACGAACCTAATATAGCATGAAGCTTCTCCCCTAAATCCCACAGAAATAGATTGTGTGCCATGGCGTTTTTGCTCTGGCCGTGTTGTCCATTATGTTAACTTCTAATTTACTTCCATTATTCCTGGATATTCCTTTGTGTGCACATCTTCTATCAAGTCGAACGTGTTACGTTCGTCCACTCTTATTCAAACGTATTACGTTCGACTCCGACGAGTATCACAAAGTGTTTTCAGTTATTTCCATTAAATCCGTTAACGAAAATACTGCAAAATCGCATTTAAGGTAAACTGCCGTGTGATGCTGGGAATGTACTTACGTGTTTCGTGTTCTTTCTTTAGTATGTTTCCTTGTGTGGCTGTTTACGCCACTGAGCTTTAATTCTCTCTAATAATTTATGGAAAGTTTGTAAGGTAATTTTTATCTTAGTGATGGTGAAATATTTCAGAATATATTGCCGACAAAACCCGTTGTGTTATTAGGACCTCCTGAATCAAGCTAGTAATTGAGCTCAAGCGGCAGGTGGTCGAATTCATGAGTTACGGTGGCCATCCATTAATTACTCTAGGCAAAAAAAAAAATCGTTTAAATTTGACCATGTAAGTCGATGACGATATGAAAGCAGTGACTGGCTTTTTGTGACAGGATTAACTGAATAACCAAGTCGAAGAGAACTTAGCTGCAGTGCATGCAATGTGGGTTTAGACCTCAATAGCTGCTTTAAAATCTTCTGGTATGCAGGGTTGAGTATATAGAGAGAATAATTAAATTGAAGTCTTCATAATTCATGGGTTCTTATGCATACATTAACTCTCATGTGGCCCAAATATAGAAAAGTATGCATAGGATCCAACACCTGACTCAATTCTTCGCGATTCTTCATACAAACTGCCAAGAAAGAGGGCTTAGAGTGCGGTGGTAATGACGGCACAACAACAATCGGCAAAGGAGGCGATGAATTCTTGCTGTTGTGCCGATGAAGACGATGAGAACACGATGAATTCAGAGAGAAGATCGTCTTCTCTTCTTGAGAAGACAATGAATTCAGAATTAGAATTTTGATTAATTTACTTGGTGTTTTCTTTGCTGTTTATTCCTGGTAAAGTTGCAATCTAAGCAGGGTAATGATATGAGAACTGTTCGGTGACGGCTCCGCTGCTGTTTGGTGTGGGTCGAAGCAAGGCGAAAACTGGAGCCAAAAACGACGCCTTCGATGACCTTACATCTCCCATTAGTGATGCCCAACGAGGCGCAACTTTCAAAATTCGCTAGTGTAGTCGTAGTGGTTTAGGTATACTTGACGGCAGATTTCTCGTCTGTGATTGGTTGGTTTAGCTTGAAAAACCTCGAGTGATTGGCTGACGGAAATACATAGTCTTTTTTTAATGAAGAAAAGTGGTTACCCCGATGGCTCGAGGAAAAGCTCCACATTGAATTGAAAATATTATATAGTCCTATATTATATAGTCCTAACTATTTTTGATAACCCAGCCTCTGCTATTAAACTAGCGTCTTATTTACAATGGGCAAATGAACCGCCTCTGCACCAGCCGCCCCGACATCGGGAGCCTCTCTACGACGCAGTCAACTCGGCCTCCTCCATCAGCTGAGGCTGGCCTTTCAGACGCCGTAGTTCCTGCGACTTGGGATTTTGCACATTAATTACCGCATTAACTAAATCAAAGTTATGTGAAATTATTGTTTAATCGGTGAATTGATTTCTATTTTATGTGAATATTAGTGAACTACCTACCGTTTATATGAAACTGTTTAAATTTATTCAATCGATATATATATACAATTTTCGCTTTATATGTGAAATTTCGATGACTCTAACCACACGCTGTGACAGTTCATAGCTTTTCATTGACCGAAACCTCGCAAAATTCATGCAACATTGAAAAATCAATCTGATCAATACCCTTTAAGGATAAGACTACCTCGTCGCGCACGGCCGAGTTTTATTAAGGTGTACAAGTAAATTCAGAACTTAAGTTTTTCTGACAGAAAGCTTCGTTAGAAATCGTTGGTTAACTAGGAATTTAGACTGTGGTATTGAAAACTTTTCTCGACACGCCTCATAAGGTGGACGCTTTTTTATCGCTTTTGAGAGCCCAACTCCGCATTGAACGTTCGCCCATTGACGCGTACTCGTTACAAGGCCTTGATGGGTACGAATAACATTGCCGACAATCAATGGATCCGTAAACAAATGGTTCATTTTGCTATATCTTTGGCTTTCTGTGGTCATCAGGAAAATCGAGGCGCATTAGTCAACAAGATTTACTATGATCGTTAAATCTTCACTCTTTATTTTAAGGACTCTTAATCAAAATGTACGTATATACAGTGGGGGGAAATAAATATTCGTACATTCGAAAAATCGTATTTTAATGTATGTAAGTACACAAACTTAACAGGAAAAGTGATTTAAATTATGTATAGAGACGCATAGTATTCAAAAATACTATCAAAAGAAATTAAATATATCGCTTTTGAGAGCCCAACTCCGTATTGAACGTTCGCCCATAGCCGCGTAGTAGTTACAAGGATTTGATGGGTACGAATAACATTGCCGACAACCAATGGATACGTAAACAAATGCTTCATTTTGCTATGTCCTTTGCTTTCTGCGGTCATCAGGAAAATCGAGGCACATTAGTCAACAAGACTGACTATGATCGTTAAATCTTCATTCATTATTTTAAGGACTCTTTGTCAAAATGCAAGTATATATATAGAACTTGGTTCCGGATGTGACAACGCTTGGATATAATAACGACGACGTCGGTACTGACTGAGCTTCTCGAAGAAATTCTTTTTCATGTCAAGTAATCTTTCATTTTGGCCAAACAATAAGCTTTGATTGCTGTTTTTTCTCAGCTCGTGGGCCATGAGCGAATATTCTAACAATCCTTTTGGCTCGGATTAGAGGTTCTTAACGTTTTACCTTTTTGTATAGTACAATAGTGAGGGCGCTGAAGAATGGGCCAAATTTGGCCAGTTAA